TTAGTTACGTCAACTAAATTTCTTTGATGTCACTACGAATATGCAGTATACGGAGAAAAATAATTTGCTGGCCCAGCAAGTTTTCTGATGGTCTAGCAAAATTTTTTCGTTATTATATGGACAGCAAAAAGATTTGCTAAGAATATTAGTCACTATTTGCTGGATATAATTTGCTAAATCTACAAATTATTTTGCTATAAGAACCATGATGGATTTATATAAGCAGTTGCAGGTTTGCTCCGATAGCAAATAAGTTTGCTAAGGATACATTATTTTGCGTCAATAGCAAGTTAACGTGATTTTTAGGACAAATACACTCAACAAATTTTTTCTATCCTGGCAACGAAACTACTTCTGCTCTGATAACGAATAATTTGTAAAATTAGTTACGTCAACTAAATTTTCTTGATATCATTACGAATATGTAGTAATAACGATATTGAAATAACTTATTCAATTTTTATTTCAATTTCTTTTCTAAAAATATATTGTATATTTGTAGCTCTATATTCTGTAGTTCCCTGCAGACGTTTTTTCTGATTAGAAATATTATAAATACATGATGTTTCTCTCTGTATTTTGGTCAAAATATGGTCGAATGCTTTTGCCTATTTAGCAACGAAATAATAGAAAGCTCCTCGAATAGATTAACTAACAGTGAGATTTGAAACGGCACATAAGGAGCAAACACGGATGTCTTAGTGCTATTAAATACTAATATTACTTTTTAATATTAATATGATTGTGGGAGGATATATAATGAATCTATTTGAGTCATCGGTTTAATGGGGTTTGGGATTTTAATAAAAAAATATATATATAAAAATTGGGACTCAAGGATCGGTCTAAGTATGGAAGGTTGATTCTCCGCGTACGATAATCGAAGAAAAAATTTCGATACGTGCGTTTAACATACTGGACAATTTTATCCTCCCACAACCATATTAATATTAAAAAGTAATATTAGTATTCAATAGCACTAAGACATCCGTGCTTGCTCCTTATGTGCCGTTTCAAATCTCACTATTATTTAGTAACGATTTTGCTAAAAGAGCAGAATTATTTTTCTCCTTGTAGCAACGACGATTTTGTTAAAAGAGCAAAATAATTTTTCTCCGCGTGTGGATTCGAGAATAAAATACAAAATATCACAGGCGTATTTCGCCACCTCGGCGATGCCGGGACGATTATCGGCGTGCACGATAGCGGCACAATGCGATACAATGCAATAACGTGCACACCCACGCACACCTCCGGGGCCGAGGAGAAGAGGTATAGACATACGCGGGGACCCCCTCGGCGGAGCGCGCGCATCGCAGTCGTGCACGCGGTCGCGCCAAACGAGGAGGTTTGTGTCCGGAAGACGGCGAATTAGCTCCAATCGTATTAATCGGCCCGGCGGCTCCGCACAGACCAGTTGACGTCTCGTCATTGAGCGGATAGCATCGTTGTTTTTCCGACGCCTTTCACGCGGACTCGCCTCGCAACCTTCGTCCGCGCTATCATCATTCTCCCGAGGAGAACGCGCATCCGCGCCAATTGAACCGCAGATCGCGCGCTGAAAGCGCGAATCCCCGTCCCGCTGGTGATTGATCGGCCGAACAAACGAGACTGGTGATAATCGGCTGTCCTCGTGAGCCGTGGTGGCCGCAGTAACGGTGGGAAAACTTGGGCGATCTCGCACGGATCTCGACGCGCGAAAATATCGCCCGCGCGCCGCCCGTGGACGTTCTCTGGGAAAGTCAGACGGCGCACGCCGCTGGCGGCAGTTTAAATCGTCCGCGTTCGTTTGTAGGACTTGCAAAAACAGTTCCGTGCTTGGTGTAACTGAATTCTCTCTTTGTGGACCAGACAAGAGCTCGATTACGCTGAGAAAAGAGTTTGCTAAATTTCAAAGAACGTTTGTTTGGATACAACTGTGAATATATTTGTTTAAATTAAGTGTAATAATACCGTTGACGATCTCTGGGAAAATCAGACTCGCGCACGCCGCTGGCGGCAGTTTAAATCGTCCGCGTTTGTTTGTAGGACTTGCAGAAACTGTGGTTGATGTAACTGAATTCTCTCTTACTTTGTGGACCAGACAAGAACTCGATTATGCTGAGAAAAGAATTTACTAAATTTCAAAAAACGTTTGTTTGGATACAACTGTGAACGTATTTGTTTAAATTAAGTGTAATAATACTTTATTACTTCAGCTTACAATGCCAGGAGGAGACTTGGCTTACATTTCATCTACCTCATTCACACTCATCCACACACCTACTCCTCATCGTTCTCCTTACATTCGCCTCATGTCCTACATATTTAACTTATCCTATAATTTGACTTAAACTCTTATGCCTTTGGTTTTATCTCTTAAGCTTTACACTATTACACAATTTTATACTCTATATACATACATTGTACCTTTAATATTGCATTTTCTTTTTACATTTTTACATTTTCGCTTTTTACTTGGTACCTAATATTATACATTGCACATCTTTTGGTATCCATCACCCTTCTCTTATTTAATACTATTACCTATTCTTATTTTTACCTAATGCTTTATTTAATTCTTATTTCCAGCTTCCTATCTTTGCCTTTTCCTTCCCTTTCCTTTTCCTTTTTCGTATCATCTTATATTCTTTTTACTTGTTCTTTCTCCTTTCCTTTTCCTTCCACAGCTTTGTTGTAATCCTTCCTTTCTCATTATCTAAACTATCGTCCCTCTAATCTTTCCTCTTCGCTTTTTCCTAAGCTCTCAAATCACCCTCTGTTTAAATTGATTATTTTCTGAAATCAAAGAAAGAAATTTATATTTAAAACTTCTTTATTTAATTTTAGAAAATAATTATTTAATTTAAACAAATATGTTCACACAGTTGTATTCAAACGTTTTTTGAAATTTAGTAAATTTTTTTCTCAGTGTAGATGCAATTCCTGCAGGAGGTTTCTGCCCAGCCAATCGCTCTAAGTTACCTCAACCAAATTTTAATAGATTCAAATGAATATTTTCGATCATATAGTAACGAAAATATTATTTTTCACTAGCAAATTTTCGTTTGGTCTACATTCAGTTACACGAACTGAAAGACTTTTCTTTCCGTGTAACAATCTCCTCTGAGAAAAGACGCGAATTTTGAACGGACAGCGGGAAACATTGGCGCGAGTCGCGAGCGTTTTGCAGATTGCTCGCGCGATTCGGGAAATAATCGCGTCAGTAATTTATTTAATTGTAAGATAAGCATCGGCCGTAAAATTCAGACTGGTGACTAGTACACTGCATTTACTAGCGAGATATCGATATCAATGACTTAATGCACACGGGATTTATCTCGGGATAACTTCTTTGATAAATATTGTCGATTGTGTACGTTTTTTGCACATATACATATATATTTGTGTCTGTGTGTTTGTGTGCGTGCATGCGTGGGTGTTTCGCGACGACACCAGGCGATAATGTCGAATTTCTTCCGGTCGTCGTAGAATTGACCCTCGCGCCGAGAGCTCCTGCACAATCGATTTCTCTGGCGATTCCGTCGCATGGTGTCCGTATCGCGCCGGCCGATAGGAAAAGCGCAGATCGATGATTCGTTGATGCTTCACCAAAATGTGGCTGAAGGACGCGTACGACGACGACGCCTTGTCAATCGCGAATTTCGCGACTTTCGCCAATCTGGCGAGCTCGCGACGGTGCGTCCAAAATGAGTAAGTCATCCTCCGTCCTGGACGGATAACCATAACTTGAATCCGCGGGGCGAATCTCCAAGCCTTTCTTTGCCTTTCGTGACCTCCTTAGTGTCTCGCGATAATTGATTCAAACGCGATTAATAACGTTATTAATTAACGTTGTAGAATTGCCGTCGTCGTGCATATGTAATCGATACTGAGAGGAAAATATAGCTGCTTTCGGCGTCAACTATACTTTTTTGTGATTTTTAACCAGAAAAATAATCGGAAGAACCATCTTTCTAATAACAGTTACTAAAACAATGGTTTTTCTCATTATTTTTGTGGTTAAAATCACAAAAGAGTATAATTGACGCCAAAACTATATTTTTCTCTCAGTGCGCGTGTAGTTTTCCACCGTGAGAGAAAGAGCAAGGGTTTATTACTCCAACAGCAACGGGCATACAATATTGGCACGATTCGTCTTTGACACGTCGAATAAAAAATGTGCACATAAGCAGAGACGCACTTTCTGCCTTGAATATTCACACTGAGAGAAAAAGATAGTTGCTTTCGACGTCAACTATACTTTTTTGTGGTTTTAACCAGAAAAATAGTTGGAAGAACCATCTTCCCGGGGAGAAAAAGTTCAGATAAAAGCCAGATATGGATTTTGAAGATCTGAATCATATATAACGTTATATCTGATTATATCTGATCAGATGTTGACAAAATCCATATCTGGCTTTTGTCTGAACTTTTTTTCCCGGTTTCTAATAATACTTACTAAAACAATGGTTCTTCTAACTATTTTTGTGATTAAAATCACAAAAGCGTATAGTTGACGCCAAAAGCAACTATATTTCTCTCTCAGTGCATATTGTTGAATAGCGCGACGAAATGTGCATCAAACATCCCGGGTAGCATAGAGAATTCAAAAAGAATTCAGTCGTATGTCACTAATTCTGAGTTCATTTTCAGATGCAAGAAGAATCCTTTAGAGTTTAGTTTGAAAAGAATTCTCTTGGCATCTAAAAATGAACTCAGAATTGGTGACATGCGACTGAATTCTTTTTGAGTTCTCTGTGCTATCTGGGATACTTGAACATTTATTTGTGGGACATGAAGTTTATTCACATAGAAATAAACTTATATATCCTACAGATATAAATTTTCAAGTATTTATTTTTTCAGGGTGCGCTCTTCGAGCAGCAACGCACGGTTTAGCCAAAAGACCCGATATTGTAAATTATTTATCTGCGAATCTTTCATATACCGATACGACAGTTCTACGATAATCGATGCGATGTTCCTCGACTGTAACCGACTCTCTTTTTGCATTGCAGAATCTTCGTCAATCGGAGTCTTCACTTGGAGAACATCAAGTTCTATGGCTTCGACATGGATTACACGTTGGCGGGTAATTATTTCCCGATAAACGCACATCTCTGGTGCGGAGATGACACGGTCGGATAAGAATATGAAGCTTCACTTAATGTTCCAGAATACAAGTCGCCGCAGTACGAACAGTTAGGCTTTACACTGCTCAAGGATCGTCTAGTATCTTTAGGATACCCGCAGGAGATCAAGGCCTTCGAATATGATCCAAGTTTTCCCGTCCGTGGGCTGTGGTTCGATACGTTGTACGGAAATCTCTTGAAAGTAGATGCGTATGGGAACATCTTGGTTTGCGTTCATGGTTTCGAGTTCTTGAAACAGTAAGACAAAGATGTAGTATATTAGCTCCGTACACGAGCTCGCACTCATTTATATCGCTTGTGCAGTCGCGGCTAATTGTTTCGTTTCATTTCAGCTCTCAGGTTTACGAGCTTTATCCTAATAAGTTTCTACAATTAGATGAATCTAGAGTTTACGTGCTCAACACCTTGTTCAACCTGCCGGAAACGTACCTGCTGGCGTGTCTGATAGATTTTTTCACAAACTCGCCGCAGTACACTAGAGAGAAGACCGGAGTGAAAGAAGGTGAGCTCACCATGAGCTTCAGGAGTATATTTCAAGACGTTAGGAGCGCGGTAGACTGGATCCACCTTCACGGTGATCTGAAAACGAAAACTATCGAGAACTTGGACGAATACGTGAAGAAGGACGAGAGATTGCCTATGTTCCTTACGAGAATCCGAGAGAGCGGAGCGAGGGTGTTTCTGTTAACTAACAGTGATTACGTTTTCACGGACAAAATTATGACTTACTTGTTCGATTTTCCACATGGCGCACGGGTACGTTTTTTTCTCTTTTGCTACTGCTATACTTAAAATTGCCTACCTCGAGAAAATTAGTTAACTATGTTAGTCATGAGGATGAGCGATTTACGAGTAGAGCGGCATTTTCAAGAATCAATATGTGAATCTTTTAGACGAATATTAGGTTGGTGCTGAACGATTCGTCGTACCTGTCAAAACTAAGAACGAAATTACACAGTTTCGAAATGATTTTCTACTAGAGAAAAGAGAGGCACAGAAGAGCGGCAAACTTTTCGCCTAAAAACCGACCTAATGTAAAGTCGTTCACATCGACTCACGAAATACAATCGAGTTGTTCACGTTTCCTTCTCGTTTCAGCCTGACGAGCCGCACAGAAATTGGAAAACCTACTTCGATACTATTGTAGTAGATGCCAGGAAGCCGTTATTCTTCGGAGAAGGGACGATCTTACGGCAGGTGGACACGAGGACCGGTGCTCTAAAGCTTGGCACTCATAAGGGGCCGCTGCATACAGGTAAATATATCAGGAAATAAACTGCGTTAATTTAATCAGAATTAATTTGACTTCATTGCGAATAAAATCGCTATATTGATTACGTCGTAACGTCGTTACTCAGCTATCGGTTCTGATTGAAATAGGTGAGGTGTATTCAGGAGGCTCGTGCGACGTGTTCACGGGATTAATTGGCGCCAAAGGGAAAGATGTGTTATATGTCGGCGACCACATATTCGGTGATATTTTAAAGAGCAAGAAGATAAGAGGTTGGAGGACATTTTTAATAGTTCCCGAATTGGTTCAAGAGTTGCATGTTTGGACGGATAAATGTCAGTTGTTCGCTGAATTGCAGAGTCTAGATGTTATGCTCGGAGAAATGTACAAGTAAGTGACTCGATATGAACGAGTACTTTGGTGCTTCTATTATCTGTTTAACAATCAATTGCTTCGTTCAGAAATTTAGACAGCAGCACAAAGGAGAAACCAGACATTTCCAAGTTACGCACGTCCATAAGGGATGTCACGCACAAAATGGACTTGGCATATGGTATGATGGGCTCTCTGTTCCGTAGCGGGAGTAGACAAACATTTTTCAGTAGTCAGGTCGTAAGGTATGCCGATCTGTATGCGGCGACCTTCTTGAATTTGATTTACTATCCCTTTTCATATATGTTTAGAGCACCTGCCATGCTGGTGAGTTTATGATATGACAGGATATTCTATGTATAGAGGATTTGTCCAATTTCTACGTTATGCATTCTTGTAAAATTTTTTCAGATGCCTCATGAAAGTACAGTAGCTCATGAACAGAGGTTTGTCATGGAAACGCCGATGATAAGTCGTTCTAGAACGTTTAAATTGATAGATGAGGAAGAAGAACATAATCGACCTACCTCTGTGAGTATTTATGAGAATATTATTGTCATATTAAGCGATTAGTTAATATCAACTGATCGAGATGAGAATTTCGCGCAATTCCCAGAATATATTTTAGAAATACAAAGATTATTTCCCTTTTCAGAAGACTTTGTTCGTGGACCATTATAATAGTCAAATTCCACACGCAAGACCGGAAACGCCACGTAACGTCACACATACGCACGATGAGGATTGTAGTGACGAAGACAGTGACTCGCAAAAACAAGCCAATCATGCAAGAGCGAGTACAAGAAACGCAAGTTGCAACTGAAACAACCTTTCACTCCCAATGTGGTCTCGTCTAACGTAATTGTAATCGACTGACAATGAATCGAATGAAACATAATACGTAGCATACTAAGTGAAATAGTTTGTGTCTTAAAGAGTTGTTATTAGCATAAGACGAGTCACGCAGGGATAAATAGTTTTCATAATTTTGTACGACAGAAATCGTAGTTTTCCTTTCTCTTCTTTTAACAAAAAAAGTCGCTGTTTTTCATCGATGTGACACCTCGGCGCGTTATTATATCCTAATTTTATTGATTGATTAACAAAGCTACTGCAGAGAGTTGCAACTTTTTCTTGAAAATTATAGCCTAAAATTCTGCCAATCTAATAAAGTATTTTTAACTCATTAATAATATTTAATTCAAAAATTTACATGTTATGATATAGATTAATGTATTGTCTATACAAGCACAAGATTTAGCAATATATTTCTATTGATTTAAGTGAATCATTTTTTAGTATGTTATATTACATACTTACACATACATATTCTCTCTTGCGAAATATTGTTACATAGAAATTAGAGCGCACAAATTTATATATAAAATTTTAATACCTAGGCTTTTTCAATTATATGACATATATTAGAGCCTTATTAATACATGTGTTACAGTATCTCCATGTGATTAATAAGGTTTAAATATTATGCTAAAAGAGTGTCGATACTAGGAAACATCGATATTAAACTTAGTATAAGATTGAATACTAGCCAAATCTTTTTACATGCAATATAAGCTTGTTAAAGATATAGTTAAAAAGGGATAAATGAAAACTGAACGAGATGCAAGAAATCTCAATAAGTTCTTTGTTGTACAATCTAAGTTAGTATATGTAGAACAAATATATCCTTATACGATCAAATACTCTAAATTAATTAGTTTGTTCACAGTTAGTTAGCAGATAAAATATAATTAATTCTCATTTAAGAAGTATCAATAAATGATTGCACTTATACTAAAGAGCACTAGTATAAGTCTTACACTGCAAGTTTAAGACAATATTAACTTTGTATATGATATAAACTATTATATATATAAATATAGACAACAAAGAGCAATAGAATAGAAAATCAAATGTAGGAATATATTGACACATTAGCATGATATAATAACTCTGGAAGTAATATATCTCGTTTTTTCATGCAGCATCAAAATTGAAAAAAGAAATATCCTGAAATTATTATAAATATATCAAAGAGTAATTGATATTAGCACTTGTATGTGTAACCTCTGGTAAAAAAAACTCATAGAATTCACTTATATTCCATTACAGGAAAATATTCCACTACTATATGTTAGAAGCCCGATATAAAACTATATAAGCCGTATATAGTATGTTATATATGCATGAGTTAAAGAATTTCTCATATTACTTAAGGCTTTTATGCAGATTAAAAGTTTATGTAAAAATAATTTTATTTTGAATAAATTATGAGACATATTTCTTTTTTCTCCTGTATTTATTTCAAATACAAGAAATCTTTATAAATTTTGCGATCTATATAAAATCTATATGTGTAAGAGATAGGTATATATGGATTTATTTTTTGTTTTTTTTTTCTATATATAATAAGTTTTTTCTATATTTAAAAGAATATTTAAAAGAAGGCTTATTGCTGGATCCTTATTGCTTGCAAGGTCTTCTTCATATAATCTATAGTAAATGAAATATTGCAAATTAAAAAATGTTTCCTAATTAAAGTTTGTATCAAAAGATTAAGAATAGATGTATAGAATATTCTGAATCTTATAAATACCATTGAAGTCTCAATTGTGCATTCACATAAATAAGTCTGCCAAGTACTCCTCAAATTCTTTCTCTCTTGTCTTTTCCACATCTTCTGTTGGGTTTTCTTTCCAGACATTCGACTTATCTGCATTAGTATTCTCAGTGCTAGTTTCTGTTTCTTGTGGACCAGAATCTATTTCTGTTTGGTTATCTGATTCCAAATTACTAGATGTAGTAGGCATGTCATCACTGTTGGGGTTAGTATTCAGACGTTTCAAACATTTTTTCCTTTTGGCTTCACGTTTTTGTGAACCATAATTGAGTTTTACAGAACATTCTATACACAATCCTAAATAAAGAAATATTATGACTTTGTAATACTCTGTTATAACATAGAACTAATCTTAACTAGATTGTGACATACTTAATTTTACTAAAGCGTTCTTTTTCTCGCCATGTTCTTCGTAGCCAAAATTAAGTTCCCAAGAACGCAGATTCTCTTTCTCTTTGCAAGTTTTGCTCCCACATTCAAACTGTCCTTTTCCAACTATTACTTCCTTTTCAGTTCTCCATCTTAAAGCGACCTATACATCATATATTAAGTGGAATAATTAAATTGGAATATATTAAATGGAATATACAATTATTTTTTAATATAAAACTGTAATATATAGGATATTATATTCTGAAACAAAACAGTAGAATATTACATACCTTATTAGACTTATAATATGTAAGGTCACATATGCAATATTCCTTGAATAATTTATCATAGTACTTTTTGGCTAATTTAGCACCCCATGTGTCTGGTATATCCTTATCTTGATCCCACAGAAACTTGTGATTTTCTCTGATGACATCATAATCAGTTTTGTCCCGAGACCTCGAAACAGGTCGAAATGTCAGGAGCTGCTTGTTTTAAAGTTTACGTAGTTATAATTTTCAAAATTATCACAAGAAATCATCACATCCATCTACCGACTTTACGTATAAAGTTTGTATCATATTTTCTCACCAGTGTAATTAGCAGAAAGTGTCGAGAAAATTTAACTAAATATAATCAGAGAGATATGCTGTTATATTCAATGATCACAAAGGAAAAAGGAAATTAGAGGAAAATACCAGAAAGTAGAGTTAAAAGGAACAGATTTAAGATATAATATGCAAAAATATCCATCTTTTGATAAATGTAAACCATTTGATTGCAAAATGAAAAATTTAACATACGTATCTCGCTTCAGCGAAGATATGGATTTTCCATGTAACGTCAAGTAATCGTTTATAAGTTTCTTGTGCCTGTCGTAAGCTGACAAGTGTTCGTACGCTGGAAACATCGCTGTTGAATCAGACTCGATCTATTAGATATTTTAATAACGATACAGATTGAAAACTGTCCACTTTCGAGTGAAACAGAAAGAAGGGTGAGAGAGGTTATGGGTTTGTCTTCTGTGACCTTCGCACTCGAAACGCCTCTAGGTCCATAAAACTTGAACTACTTAGCCAATATCCACGATTTTCTCAACGGGTATAATACTCTGTACTTACAAGTTTGACTTTGTCCTATATGATACGAGACAAACGTAACCGCAAAGAGAAATTTGATGCTTGTTTCGTTTTGAGTGTCAAAAGTATAATAAAATTGTACGGCTAAAAAAGTCTAATCTATGACTGGGGGGAGATGTCCATTTTCAAAATTCCATTCATTATTATTATCTTAATTGCCTCCATTGCGAGTGACAATGACTTTTGTGAAGTACCTGATAAATATACTGATAACGCTGAAAAGTGTTCTGCTCGAAATTATTTTACACAGAAATGGTTCGAAATTGTTATTAGGATCTTGTTTTTAATTATATCAATTTAATCTCTATCTATAAGAACTTTACAATTTGAGATTTATCTTATTGAAAAATTTCTGTTCACTCTGAAAAATTACAGTTTGTCTATGTATACAAATATTCATGTATATAAATATACATAATTTTATTGTATTTTACAGTTATATTCTATATGATGTAAATCCACCAGAGGGATTTAATCTAAGGAGAGATGTATACATTCGTGTTGCTGTCTTCCTGAAGAAGTTGATTGAAAAATACAAAGAATTTCAGTGGCAATTGGTTTTACCACCATGGGGTAATATTTTCATTGAAAATATGAATATATTTTGCAAGATTTAAATGGTCCAAACCATATTATTATTTTTACACTGTCTTATATAGGTAATCTATATCATTGGCGAAGTAAGCATATAGGACAACAAAAACTCATACCATGGAGTGACTTTTTTGATATTACAAGTTTGCAAAAATATATACCTGTCATTGAAATGTACCAGTTTATGGAAGGTATAATTTATTTCTATATTTTTTATATATAACTATATAACTTTTCTGCTTTAAGTATATAATGTAAATTTAAAAATCATTTTATGTTGTAGTCAAGGCCTTATTGATATTGATATATAAATATTTTTTGTTCTTAATTATTGTTGTGAGAATCTTAAATACAAACTATTTATTTAGCTTCATAATAGCTTGATTTTAGAATATTCATCTGGGAGCACAAAGACAGAACTTGATTGTGTCTACAATTTACAAAATGATGATGAAATGTTCAAGACAGGTAAATTTGAAGATAAGAATGAAGAGACAGACTGCATTCGCGATTTTCTACCATATCACAAGTTAGACCATCAAACATATGCTGGTCCATTCTGGGGTTATCATAATATCACAGCTAAGGAAGTGAAATGTCTCAAGTTTCATGGTGTGGCATCTGCTCTTTATCAAAATCTTAGGCCAACGCAATACAAGTAAAATAATTTTATTGTTTCCATCTCATTTTATATAATAGTATTAATAGCTTGAATTGTTTGCAGATCCATAATGTTTGATCACATGGAAATTGCCTTGCATGATGAATATGGCTCAAAAGAGTATTGGAAAGCTAGACGCAGCATGCGTTATAATTCTGAACTGTACAACATTGCGAATGAATATAGAAGAGTTTTCTTAAATTCTACAGATCAAAATGATAATACAGAACGACTTGTAGACTGGACTAAAGAAAAGGTACATTATAGTAGTAGGCTAAAAACAATACTGCGCAAACATGAATTAAAAATTAAAATAATCATTTTCCCTACATGTAACATCAGAGCCAACGAAATGCGAAAGGTGGTCCATATCTAGCGGTTCACTTTAGAAGACGTGATTTTATTGTTGGTCACAAAGACTCCATGTCGACAATAGAGAGTGCTGCTTCTCAGTTAATAGAAAAAATGAACGAACTTGGTTTACACGTGTTGTTTGTTGCGACAGATGCTGTACCAGAAGGTATACAATCTGTAAATGTGACTATCACTTGAATGTTTCAAATCACAAGAAATTTAATTGCATTACAGATTTTTAGATAATTTAGAATTTTCTCAATAAAAATATTGATGATTGAAAATAAGAAACTAAAGTAAATAAAAAGATCATTTCTTTTAAAAAATAACTTGAACACATAGATACTTATTGTTATTTAAAACAAAGCATATTTTCAGAGTTTGAACGACTCGAGTGGTACTTAGCTCGGTACAAAGTTATGAGATATGTACCATCTTGGTCTGAAATAAAAAGATTTAAAGATGGTGGAGTAGCCATCATCGACCAAATAATTTGTTCACACGCCAGGTGAGAATATCTTTTTCTTTAATTGCTCATGCAACATATTCATGTAAAAAATATGACAATCGTGTGTAAAATCCTTCTGTTAGATATTTTATAGGAACACATGAGTCAACTTTTACATTTAGAATACAAGAAGACAGAGAGATTATGGGTTTCTCGCCAAAAACTACATTTAATCGTTTGTGCAAAAGTAAGAACAAAAAATGTACAACAGGAGGACAATGGCAGATCGTCTGGTGATGAAATGTAAAGACTCAATTATCCTTTTTTATACATAGAATAATATTCAATAATTTCGACATATTCTTTATTTTAAAACAACAGTTAAATATAAATTCACAGCATTCTTATTTTCTATATACATATATGCATATATTTTTCTCTCATACAAATTACTTCTACTTATGTAAAAGTTGCAATATTAGTTTTTACCTTCAGGATTTATACGCTGTTAATTGGTTACAGGCCTAGCAATTAACTCTTGTTCTCTGCGCAATTCTTGTTCACGTTGCTGCTCTCTGTTTAATGCTTCTTTCTGCTTTATCTGTTGTAGACGTAACGCGCGTTTCTGTAACGCAAATCTTTTTTTGTTAATTTAAATAAAAATATTTGCGTTAACATTTACATCTACGGAGAATGAACTTAGATGGTTCACCTTTAACTTAGAAGTCCTTTCATGAATATTGATCATTTCTTTTCTTATTGACGCTAACTTTCCTTGATAAACTTTAACAGTTGAAAACTATAACATATATATTCTCTTGTATATTTTTTTTCTACCAATCAGTGAAAATTTAAATATTCCAAATATTATATCATCATTTCTTACCATGTCATTTAAATCTATATCTTCAAATGTTTCATTTATCTTTTTGTTTTCAGATTGCATTTGGGCAAGTAGAGTTTCTTGTTTACTTCTATAGAAGAAGATATATAAAACAGTCAAAATGAAATTTTTACTATTTAATGTCAATAATGTACATGCTTACGTTAATTCCAAGAGATCTTTCTTAACTTGTTCCAATGGAGGCTGATAAATGCTCAAGAGACCTTCTGCCAATTTTTCCACAGCCTCTGTGAAATCTATCACATTCTCACTAACAAAGAATGAATAATACTGTTAAATCGTAAGATTGATGTCATTAAATTTAGTGGTAGTATTGCGTTTTTATTTTTTATACTTTGCGCTACATAATCTATTATTATATGCCATAGGTGATTTTATGCGAGATCTCAAATCCTTTTGTCCTACATATAAATTAAGAGATATGAAGAGTGCGAAAAAAAGTCGCTCGGGAATTAAAGCTGATGCGAGTAATGTTTGAGAGTTAAAGCTATCTAATCTTGAAAAGTAACTGTTACTCAAGAGGAGAGATCGTTTAACTGCTTGGAACGCATAAACAGGTAGTTGGACGTAAACAAAAGTGTGAGGTTACCATTCCTCCTGCTCGGTTCCTGAATGAACTTCAACTGTTTCGGTTTCGCTCACATCGGTCATCATGTTCGCTGCTGTTTCTCTTTTTCACCTTACCTACGGTTGTATGTGTCAGGTGTAATTATGCACATTGGCCTATAAAAAAAAGTGCGTGAAGAAAGTAAAAAAAACAATCGTGCGGAATCGTGCGACTTTTGGCGTAAATGCGATGGAGGCTTTAATTTGATGATGCATTTTGTGAGTGCACCGACAGATGGCAGTGGTCGCAAAATGGCGAGTTCTCGTGTGTTGTTTGTTATGTCGACTAAAAATTTGTTAAATAATTTTGGACTGGCCAGGTATTTCGGTGAAAGATTTACATAATTCCACTTTTAAAGAGTTTTCTTAAACGTAGAATTGCTGTGATCATGTTTTTCATATATATATATATATATATTTACACAAATGTTTCGTTTCAGATGCAACTTTATGATTTTCAGAAGAGAATACAGTGTCTTTCCTAAGCGTTATGTTCAGCCAATATTTAAGAAAGATGAGCAGCAAGAAATGCTTCAAAGCGAGGAAGGAAAGGCAATCGTCCATCAATCGTTTAAACCGGCGTTGACAAGCGATACGTGCTCTGGATTTTATGATCCCAAGTTGACGTGAGAAATCAAACCTACGTTTTTAGTCGAATTTGTGCACGTTGCAGTATATTATTTCGTATTATAAATTGCGCGTTTATATATTTTTTTAGGAAATTTACAAATGTTCTTATGAGAAATGGAGATAAAATATTAGCGAAGAAACTGGTAACCTTTGCTCTTGAGAAAGTGAAAAGGATACAATTGAAACGTTACCACCAGAGTACAGATGAGAATAAAGAAAAGATTGAATTAGATCCTTTTGCAGTTTTTCATCTTGCTCTTAATAATTGCATGCCAATTTTGCATTTGGAGTCATGCAAAAAGGGTGGAATTACATATCAGGTAATATATGATAATGTATGTTAATTATATATAAATAAAAGGAAAATTCTTTAGTCTTAACTCAACTAAACAATTGTTTAGGTACCTGTACCGATTAAAGCCTCAAAAGCACAGCATAAAGCAATGAAATGGTTGATAGAATCTGCAAATGATAAAACTTCCGAAGAGAGATTCTACGATACATTAGCTAGGGAACTAGTGGCAGCTTCTGACAATAAGGTTTATATATATATATATATATATATATATATATAAATAAATTGTAAAATTTTTAAGTAAATTTGTCTTATTTACAACATATATATATTACATGTATTGTTGCAGGGTAGAGCAGTGAGACGGAAACTGGAATTACACAAAAAATGTCAAGAAAATCGGGCTTATGCACACTTTAGATGGTTGTAGATATGGTAAACATAGATTTTATTTATAAATAAAATACTTATAAAATGCAATGACTATAACACAGTATGTTTATATATAGAAACTGTTAAACCGTTCCTAGTACACTTTTAAAATTCTGGACATCCATTATTTTTCCTAATTTCATATTTATTTTCAATGTTTTCTTTTGCGAAATAAACAAAATTTTCTTGTAGAGAGGATCAGTGATACGAAGTCTGTTATCTGATAGAGGGATCACATCGTCAATATTGGTTTTCAGATCCAACCTACGTCCCCAGTAATCTATGTAAGACAATATCACATTTCCTTCCTCCAAATTTATATATATTATTCCTACCAAGTTATTGCACAGGATTCCGTTGATGTGTAGAAATGCTGATATTAAAAGTGCTAAAACAAGAGAGAAATGTTTGTTCATTGAGCAATGGTACTTTCTGGTACAACTTAGAACGTAGAATCTTACTGCTAACTGTTGATGCAGCAGTTATTTCGAAGGGAATGGCACTCATTAACTCGAGTAAAATCGCCACAGGTACAACCGCGCCGGTGACATAAGTGAATCGACGTTTCGCGCCATTAAAAGCAGCTACGTGTGCAATGTAGGGAAAGACATAAATCAACTTGTAACCGGGGAACCTCTTTGAAGTGAGGTCCATCGTTTGTTTCTCGACGTCTGTTTTCGTAGCATGACTCAATGTGCTGCATTGAAGTCTACTACTAATTAAACCGCGGTGCAAAGCCCGTTCGCAGAATTTCAACGCGAGTCGAGTGTACATTGGAGGTTATGTTACGGTAAACTGATTGGTCGAAGCTGCGATCACTACAGGTTCTACAATACGCGAAACTAATAAACTTGAGAAGTTGGAGGGATGCGAAAAATAGAAAGAATTTATTTCGCTAAACTCTAATTCCCTTACATCGGAAGTATTTTCCTTGAGAAAGAATTATAAATATGTTATTTTTATTAGCATTATATTATATTTGTCCTTTCTTTCCTTCCATATTTGAAATGAAAATATAATTGTTGAGGAAGGAAGATATAAGAAATGTGAAAATTTTATACAAAAGTACAGGAGAGATGCAAAGTTTATAGAGAATTTGTTATTTTTTTTTCATTTTATTTTCTATATTTCTACTTTCGTTTCCTTGATTTATTCACGCACGAATGTATTTGAAAAATCATGGCGAGAAATTAAATTCCGGTAACAGCACTTGCAACGAAATGATCTATTTTTCACTTATTTTTAATATTTGTCTATATACTTGCACTTTGTTCTACTCATTTTTCCTCTTTTCGTCTTTTTTGTTTATTACTTTGAATATTTACATTTATTTTACACTTTAATTTTTCTCTACGATAGGATACGATGGCGAGTCTGGCCGAGTCGAGCTTTGAATTTTCGCGCGCGAGCGAGCTCGAGCCGCCGCCGCCGGCGCCGCCGTCACCGCGCACGCGCGACGTTCGCCGCCGTCACCGCGCACGCGCGACGTTCGCCGCTAGCGCGTTGGCATCACTGACGCAGTCGCCGCCGCTCCGTCGCATTGGCACCATTGTTACGCCGTCACTCGTCCGTTAGCCATGTTCTGCGATCGGATACAGGAGTTTGTCGTGCGAAAATGCTCCTCGCGGGTGTGAGAGCCGATCCGTCGTGTTATCGCGCGGCTCGACGACGGTAAGGTCCGCGTACCAGACGAGTGGCATGTGTTCGTCCTGTCGACGGGAGGACATTGCGCGCGTGCGGTGGTCGTGCAGGGCGAAGGTGGGATCTCGGCGGTGAAGCCTTTATCGCAGCGCGCGTCGGAGTCTGTGTGCGACACCCGCCTGACCCAATGGAGCCGCGTCCTCTCGCCGTGCCGTTGGCTTTGTTGACAGCGCTCGCATGGGGTAAGTCCCTCTCTGACAATCAACTCGTACTCGTTATCACGCGATGTCGCGCCAATTATCGCACATTTCCACCTGCCTGCCTTTCGTTTCGCGATATGTGTGCGCGCAACTCGCGCTCGCTCATCCGAGAACGCGTCCAATTCGTTTATTCGTTCGTTTCTCGCCCGAATGACGCGAGATCTCCCGTTCGCCGGATATGTTCACCCCTCGCCGAAATTTCCGCGCGAATGCGCGCCGAAAAGCCGCGTCGCCGCCGGGCATCGCGCGATCGACCTGTCAACGAGCGCGCGTCGCGTCGTGAAGCGACGCGATGCTGGCGATCCGTGAAATACAGGCGTTCTCGGAGCGTGGCAGTGGTAGTGATAGTCGGCGGTAGCAATAAATAGAATAAAATCGATAGTTATTTAAAAAAAACCGTAACACAACAGTTCCGCTATCCTCTATTCTAATCGTGCTCTGCTAGTGTTGAAAATTAAACAGCCGCGTCTTCATATCACGAGAGAGAAAGAGAGAGAGAGAGAGAGAGAGAGAGAGAGAGAGAGAGAGAGAGAAAGAGAGAGAGAGGGAGGGAGCGAGAGAGAGAGAGAAACGAAGTACGAAGAGTACAAACGCAACTCAGGCGAGACTCGGGCAATTTTCCATTTCGTTTTGCCCGTCTTACGGAAAAATAGATCTCTTCAGTCGCGCCTTCAGTCGAATTTCCTCTGTAATCACGCGCCGACACGTGACAACGGAAGGAGACTGTCGCGCGAGAGCAAACGTTATCTCGTTCATAACGAGTGCGAGTATTTTTCGCGTGCCCGAGCGAGTCGCTCGAGAAGGAGCGAAGTATATCGCCTGACTTATTCATTGACCGCGCGCGCGAATTTGCATAATCCGTTTCGCGTTCCGCTTTGTGTGTCGACGACGTGCCTTGCCGAAGGTCGAGTTGAGAGACCCTGCGCATCGGGTGACTATTATTGATGCAGAGAGAAAGAGATAGAGCGAGAGAACGAGGGAGAGAGAGAGTGTGTGTGTGTGTATGTGTGTGAGAGAGGAGATGGAGGATGAAGGAGAAGAGGAAGAGGGGAGAGAGGAAGGTGAAAGAGAAGATTACGCCAGCGGCGTGCGGGGGGTGACTTTTTTCGGGGTGCATTTCCTGTTGATACGGATCAGGGGGCTGCGAGCGAAATCGGCTTTTCCGCGCGCTCCGCTCCGTTGATTATAAATCGTAGCCCCCCCCCTCGATGGGGGGGGGGTGACAAGCGTTGTAAAATCGAGCTGCGAATTCGCGAAAATTCGCCGCGCGGATCGTCAGGCGAATTGCCTCGACGATCTCCCGCTTGTGTACAGTCTCGCATTGCGGTTTAATATTTAATATTTACTACCTCGTAACGCAACGTAGGCGCCGATCGATTTCACTTCCCCGAACTCGCCGTTCTCCAGGAGCGTCGTGAGGTCGCGAGACTCGAGGCTTGAGCGACCGGCTGCGTTCACTTCTTGCGATAGGCAAGACACCTCATCCTTCGCACGTGTAATCCTTCGCAGGATTAATCGCTCGATTGAGTCCCGAGGACTCGAGGCGAGAAGAATTCGGCGAGTCTCGCCTTCGAGGTGACCCCTCGTCGCGGGCGTGAAGCGCATCGGCGACGGCGGGGGGAGGGTGAGAGGGAGGGAGGAGGGGGACACCGTGTCAATGCGCTCGACTGTAGTATACGGCGCAACATCCCCGAACCCGCGGCGGCCGCAATATAACGTGGGGCCGGTGCAAGTCAGTGCCCTTCGGTAACGCGGCGGCGATAAATTGACGTCGCCCGGACGGCGGGACGACGACGACGACGACGACGGCGGGCGGGAGAGGCTCATTGTTGCGACTGTTTGCGAGCGCGCCCGGTCGGGCCGTCGCGCCGCGCGACCGGCGTCTTGTATTAAAGATTCATTGAGGAGGTTTCACGGTGCACACAGGCTCTCTGCAGCGGTACGCTGTCCGAGAAACGGAGAACGAAACACTCCGGCTCCGGAGAACGCGCTTTATCGCGCTCGCGAATCGCGCGCAGTAAACATTCGGGCTCTTGCCGATGTCTGTCCTAACTTGAGGGGGTATTCTGGTGTGCAAGGACCCGTTTTCAAGGCGACTTTTGGGAATTGATTTTAAGCAAATAGTTAAAGGGACGTGTACATTGGAAGTAAGCAGTAAGAAGTAAGAATAAAAAATTGACCAATCGTAGTTGATTATTCTTCTCACATTCGATTGTGGTGGGTCAATTTCTTATTCTTACTTCTTACTTACTTCCAATGTAGACGCCCCTTTAGAGGGTGCTGAAGCTGAAAACTTTACCAACAGAACACTGACATTTCTCTGCAGAATTATAAATGCTTTTACGCAGTGAAAATACGTATTCTAGTGTGCAAAGACCCGTTTTCAAGGCGACTTTTGGGAATTGATTTTAAGCAAATAGTTAAAGGGACGTGTACATTGGAAGTAAGCAGTAAGAAGTAAGAATAAAAAATTGACCAATCGTAGTTGATTATTCTTCTCACATTCGATTGTGGTGGGTCAATTTCTTATTCTTACTTCCTACTTACTTCCAATGTAGACGCCCCTTTAGAGGGTGCTGAAGCTGAAAACTTTACCAACAGAACACTGACATTTCTCTGCAGAATTACAAATGCTTTTGCGCAATGAAAGTACTGCAAAAATAAATAAGAGCGTTGCTTGATATGTGACGAAAACGAGCAAAAGATTTTTAGTGTAAAATCTCAAACTGTCAGCGTAATATTTGCCTAATCCAAAAGTTTTGCAGTTTGTACATGTTGCATCTGCATTTGGAATAAGAATATCGAAAAAGTTTGCAGGAAGATTTCTACATATATATGGTTAGGTTAGGTTTTTCATTGAATATGGTAAAACAAAGCAACACATATTCATGTAAGTTTTGTATATAGAAATACGAAAAGGATAACGTGATTATGTTAGTGACAATCCTGCATTATCGACATTGTTCGAGTTTGTCATCGACTCCAGCATCCCGGGATAAAGACCCCGTTTTCAAGGCGATTTTTGGGAATTAATTTTAAACAAATAGTTAAACCTACAGAGTTAATGCTTTGTACTGATATTTATTCATCTTTGAAGAAACATCTCAAATTTTGTCAAAGATTCTAGTTTGGGCGATAGCCACATTCAAAAAGAACAAAATAAAAGCAAATTCGTTTATTCCGGATGATGACAACGGCGGCAATCAACACGCCTGATGGAAGACGGCGTGACCTGTTTCGTCCACTTGTATTTTCCCCAATTTTGAATAAAAAGCTTTGACAAAATTTCAGATGTTTCTTCAAAGATGAATAAATGTCAATATAAAACATTAACTCTGTAAACTTAATCATTTGCTTAAAATTAATTCCCAAAAATCGCGGGTGAAAAACGGGTCTTCACCCAAGAAAAACGGGTCTTCACACAAGATATCCCCTTAATGTAAGGAATGAATTCTAACCCTAAGGAATGAAAAGGAGAAGCAGAAGGTGATTCTAGTTGTAGGTGGAATAATTGAGAGCAGAGATTGGGATATGTCTAACAAGGAGATGCCACAACCTGCTAAATCGATTTCTGAACGAGACATAGCACGTTCGCTAGCTGCGATGTTAAGCATCAACACCCTTATTGGGATTTGTGCCAATGGGTCTTTGTTTATGAGAAATTACAATATAAAGTTTGGATTGCGAGACTGTATCACGGATATGGCTAAAAATGCGACTGTCTTTCAGCGAAGTGGCGGGGCCGAGCAGACTGAGGCTTCCATGTCGAAAATATTTGAGGCAGCGAGTGTTCGAAACCCGGCGCCGAGTTATCTTTGTGCGGCGTTTTTTTTTTTACCTTAGGGCATGTAATTAATGTTTTTCGAATATGATACATTTGTTTTGCCTCGTTATGTCTCGTTTTGCCTCGTTATGTCTCGTTTTTATCTATTAATCAGAGGTAATTAGGGAAGTGTCAGACTTGTTTGACGCAAACACGAATATAGACACGTATTTTGTATTGCTTACAATGCAATATATATTTTAGTACATATTAGAACGTTATTGATGCTGATGATAAATAATAAGAAAGTGATTGTATGCATATAGCATCACCTCGAATGTCCAAATGTGTACTTTCATCGCCTGTATAAATCAAGATAGTTGTATATTCTCGTGATCATATTTTTAACTTGCCTATAAAAGTAAACATTCTACGACAAGTAGATTGCTGTACATTTCAACGATATTATTTTCAAGTTATATGTTTACTTATATTTCTCGGCGCGGAATAACTTGTTTGATTATATGTTTGATTATATGTTTGTCCTCTCCTCTCAACAAGAACTAAAAACTTATTAAATACAACAGAAAACATGACGTTTTAATATGTACTAAAATATATATTGCATTGTAAGCAATGCAAAATACGTGTCTATATTCGTGTTTGCGTTAAGCCTGACATTTCTCTAATTACCTCTGATTAATAGATAAAAACGAGACATATGCAAAACAAATGTATCATATTCGAAAAACATTAATTACATGCCCTAAGGTAAGAAAAAAAAAAACACTGCACAAGGATAATGGCTCTCATAGATCAGCGTGATGCGCGTGCGATAGCGATATCCAATAAAGCATACTAGTATTCCGCAAAAACTGTACACGTTCATTGGATATCGCGCGTTGCATATCACGTGTCGCGTCGCAAATCGCGCTGGTCTGCGAGAGCCATAAACTCGTCGCCAGGTTTCGAACGCTCGCTGCCGACTCAAATATTTTCGACATGGGAGCCTCAGTCTGCTCGGCCACACCACCTCGCTGAAAGACAGTTGCATTTTTAGCCATATCAGTAATACAGTCTCGCAATCCAAACTTTATATTGTAATTTCTCATAAACAAAGGCCCATTGGCACAAATCCCAATTAGGGTGTTGATGCTTAACATCGCAGCTAGCGAACGTGCTATGTCTCATTCAGAAATCGATTTAGTAGGTTGTGGCA